GACCTACATAGAACTGTCTAATGCAGGGATGTCCAATCTTGGCAACTTTTAAGATTGGCCGGCTGGGGAATTCTGGGAGTTGAAGTCCACAGGTCTCCAAGCTGCCAAGATTGGACACCCCTGGACTAATGTGTTGGAACTGAGAAATACCCATTCGTTTCCCTGCTACCGTGCACTGAAGCAGCTCTAACTTGAAAGGAGCACCAGATTTTCCTCTTCCCTTTTTATTTCCTCAGGTCTGTGAGCAATAATTGAAGCTGATCTCTGCCCGATGGGTTTGCTCAGGGTTGAAAACGTGTTTCTCTCTCTCTCTCTCTCTCTCTCTCTTTCTATGTATATATATATATATAAAGGGCTAAGCAAAGCAATATTTCATTTCTTACAAGGCACAAAAAACTCTTTCACAGTGTTAAGGAAGCAACTGTTTTAGGAAGCCAGAGCTAACACAAGTTAGGGTAGGCACTTTAAGAACGCGTGGGGGTGTGCGAGTGTGTGCGTGCATGCATTTTCTGAGTGTGTATGTATATACATATATTGATAGATACAGTATATACAGATAGATGTATGGGACTTTAAAAATCCCTAAGTCCCATTTACGAAAACAAGAATTAAGGCTTCAATTAATTATTTGTATCATTTTATAGGTACCACTTGGTTATTTATTCGGGGATATGCCTCCTTGTTTTTAAGTATTGGCCTTTTCTTTCTTTTTTTAAGCCAAAAAAGAATGGAATGGGGTTCTGGTAACTTCAGCTTTATACTTTGGGAGGTGGGGGTGGGTTGCGTAGTTTCTAATTAGATATTTTTAGATGCTTGCCTGCATTACGTAGAAGAAATTGGGCAGATTTCTAATATCTTGAATCTATAGAGTGATTTTTTTAAAACTGCAATCGGGAGTCCGTTGCCTTTGAGGAACTGTTTTGATGAAGAAACTCTACAGTGGGAGGGGGGGAAACTTTGATTTTTGTAAGTATTAGTTTTCCTCAAACGGAGGCCATTCAAAGATGTGATTTATGTGGAAAGAAAATGCCTGAAATGACTGTGCAAAAGAGATGAGAAGGAGTCTAATGGATGGGTGAGAAACGTTTAATTTCATTGAATGAATGAACGGGTGGGGTTTCTTTGCAAAACTTATCCTTCCGTTTTCCTGCAAGGACAGGATGAACAGGGAGGCAATCCGGATTCAGCAGGCTGCTATTCATGTTCAGAAGCTGGTTTGGAGGGAGAGTACAGGTAGTCTTCGAATTAGTGACCAAAGGGACAACGGCAGTGGAGAAAGCAGTTTATGGCCATTTTTTCACACTTAAAAAGAGCAGTTTATGGGCATTTTTTCACACCTTTTTAGCATCTCCAGAATCGCGTGATCAACATTCAGACGCTTGGCAACTGGTTCATACTTGACTGGTTGTGGTGTCCCAAGGTCACATGATCCTCTTTTTGTGACCTTCTGGGAAGCAAAGTCAACAAGGAACCTGGATTTGCTTAAGAACCGGGTGACTTATCTCATCAACGGCAGCGTTTCACTTAACAACGGAAGCAAGAATGGTCGTCTGATGGGGCATTGCTCACTTAACAACTGTCTCACTTAACAACTGAAATGTTGGGCTCGATGGTGGTCGTATGTTGGGGACTGCCTGTATACAATCAACTAGGGATTGTCTATCCGTTGCCGCTGTTACCTCCGGAAAGAGAATCAAAGAAGAAATTTCATTGCCTAACCTGGTCTTGAAAAACAGACATAAATCTAGACTGCTTCACTGGAGGTTGTGCAGAATTGCACACAACATGTTCCTGTTGATATTATTATTATTGTTATCATTGTTATTATGGTTGATCACAGAGTCATCCATATTTAGACTGAGTGTGGCATTTTTTTGTGTACCTATCGAGTCTTTCCCAAGGACTTGGAGTAGGCAGAGGGTTTATTGATAGTGTTAAAAATGTGACCACAGTATGTTACTCTTATTATTATTATTATTATTATTATTTGTTCGAGGCAACAGGAGGGAGGCGGGTGAATTTCGAGCAGAAACTGGAAAGTCAATAAAATAACTTCTAATTCTCTGTGCTTTTTTCTTTTCTTCCTTCCTTCCATTGTGCAAAGCTCACACTCCTTAAGGAAAAGCTCTTTTACTGTAAAAAGCAGGATGAATAGCTCTTGAACAACAGTGCAAAATGGAATTTTGTGATTCCTCCTGCAGTATAAAACACGGCGCTCTTTAGCGTTCAGTGTATGTGTGTTTGAAAAAAGTGACATGACTTTTTCACAGTTAGGACCTTTGCAACAGCCCCATGATCAGGTGTTTAAAATTCAGATCCTTGGGAAATGACACATACTTATGACCGTTGCTCTGTCCCTTTTGCAACCTTCTGACAAAGTCAATGGGGAAGTCAGATTCACTTAACAACCGGGTGACTAACTTATTATCTGCAGTGTTTTGCTTAACAACGGAGGCAAGAAAGGTCTTCAAATGGGGCAAAACTCACTTAACAACTGTCTCCACCTAACACCAGAAATGTTGGGCTCCATTGTGGTCATAAGTTGAGGACTGCCTACATTTGACCAGACTGGTGATACCTTTTGCTATCTTGCTCATTTCAGCCTTAAGTGTTCAGTCCATTTAAGGGTAATTTCTAATCTTTTGCCCTGAAATTGGCAGAAAGGTGGGAGAGACTAATATCAGAAGACTTAATGGTGGGAGGGAAGGGTTTAATTTCCTCCCCACTATAACAACTCAACCAGTGGTGGGATTCAATTTTTTTACTACCGGTTCTGTGGGTGTGGCTTAGTGTGTGTGGCAGGGGAACGTTACTGCAAACTCCCCATTCCCTCCCCCAACCTGCTTTCCAGCTCTGTTCTCCTGTGCAGGGCAACCAAAAAAGACCCAGCCGATCAGCTGGGACTCGGGAAGTAGAGAATAGATGGGGTTGGCGGGGCCAGTCAGAAATGGGATTTGCCAGTTCTCCGAACTACTCAAAATTTCCGCTACCAGTTCTCCAGAACCGGTCAGAACCTGCTGAATACCATCTCTGACCCTACACCTTTAGTTTAAAATAGTTCACATGAAAACTTTTGATGAACAATAAGTATAAAAAGAGCTTGACATTAAAAGCTGGGTTGCCCAGCCCTGATTTGCAAAGCCACTGCCTAGATATTTTGATATTTATATTTAATTTTTTTTAAAAAAATAGACTGCTTTCCCCTTCCAGTTCCTTAAACAGATACTTATAAGGGTGCAATGAAAATAACAGGAAAAGTCAACAAGAGCAAAGTTAAACTAATAAAGCAATGTTTCTCAACCGTGACAACTTACAAGATGTATCGATTCCAATTCCCAGAATCCCCCAGCAAGCTGAATTGGGGAATTTTGAGAACTGAATCCAGCCCGCATATTAAAAGTTGCCAAGTTTGAGAACCACTGCATGAAAGCATTATATTAAGACATTAAACATTAACATGCAAGTTTTTAAACTCCTTCCTAAACTGTAAGTGCCCGAACTCTCATTTATCCAGTTTTGGTGACCCAACACTATAAAAAAGATGTTGAGACCCTAGAAAGAGTGCAGAGAAGAGCAACCAGGATGATTAGGGGACTGGAGGCTAAAACATACAATGAATGGTTGCAGGAACTGGGCTTGGCTAGTCTAGTGAAGAGAAGGACCAGGGGAGACAGTACAGCAGTCTTCCAATATTTTAGGGGCTGCCACAGAGAGGAGGAAGGGGTCAAGCTATTTTCCAAGGCACCCAAAGGCCAAACAAGGAATAATGGATGGAAGCTGATCAAGGAGAGATTCAACCTGGAAATAAAGGAGGAATTTTCTGATAGTGAGGACCATAAACCAATGTAACAGAAGTAGCCTTTGGACGTTGTGGGAGCTTCATCACTGGAGGCTTTCAAGAAGAGACAGGACTGCCCTCTGTCAGAAATGGTGTAGGGTCACCTGCTTGGGCGGCGGGGGGTGATGGTGGTGGTGTATTGGACTAGAAAATCAGGGATCTCCAACCTTAGCAATTTTAAGCTTTGCTGGCTGAAGAATTCTGGAAGTTGAAGTCCACAAGTCTTAAAGTTGCCAAGGTTGGAGACCTCTGGACTAGATGACCTACAAAGTCCCTTCCAACTCTGTTAATCTGTAATATTTCTTGATTCCTTCCTTCCTTCCCGTTTGGAGGTCTAAGAGAAAAAGACATGTGAGATTTGAAATGACAGATAGTTTGCATTCTTTTTTTTTTTTAAAAACAAACAAACAAACAGTTTATTAGTTTTTACAATTAAAAACAACCAATGATACATACACAAATAAACGAGAGAGAAAAAAGGAAGAAAAGAAAGAAAAGATTGAAAAGAAAGAAAAAAGAAAGAAAAAGAAGGAAGAAAAATTAAAAGCATTCTTATTTTTACAGTTTGCATTCTTGTTTGGCAATATTTTACAGGCATAGAAATGTACAGTAAGCAACTTAATGGTGTAAGGTCTCCTGCTTGTGTGTGTGTGGGAGGGTTGGACTAGATGACCTACAAGGTCCCTTCCAAGTTCCAACTCTGTTAATCTGTATTTGTATCTATTCTTCAAAGATACCTTTAAAATCCTATGAAACCTCTTTGAGGTTGAATGTTTTAAATAGAAACAGACATCTATATTTATGTAGTTGGGCTTGCCACTTCTGTTACAAACCGTTTATATGCTTATGTCACATTTAAAAGAAAAAAAGGAATGCACGATTTAGATAAACCGACTTTTGGTTTTGCGGCGAAAACGCAGGAAAAGAAAAGAAAGAAAGAAAAAAAAAAGCGAGCAGAGCCGCTGCAAACAAAGTACGTTCCCATAGAGATAGGAACCTTAGAGAGCCGCTCCCTCTTCTCCAAGAGCGCGATTGTATATTTAATCCCGGAAACCGGAAGTAGAGGCTTCTCGCATCCCGCTCTAGACTCAGGCTCTATGGTCCGGAGCGGCCTCTCTAGCCCTGGGCGAGTACGCCCTCCCTCCTTTCGTTGTGGCGACTCTATGGTCGTGGGCAGCTACGCGGGCCGTTCGAGGGCAGCGGCGGGAAGCCGAGCCGAGCCGAGCCGGGCAGCCATGGCCAAAGGTGAGCCCTGGGTCCGGGCCCTTGAGAGCAAGAAGGGCGCCTTGTATAATATTTGCAGTTGTTTCCTCCCTCCTCAAGAAAGGGTTTCTTCTTCTTTCTTCTTCTTCTTCTTTTTTTTGCATTTAAATAAACACGACAGGCAGAAGTTCGTCAGGTGCGGCTCTCTCCCACCTCAGTCAAACATCCACAGGTTGGCATGCTCTCCCGTCGTAAAGCGGGGGATTAGAAAGCCCCAGAGTCGGTGGGCCAGGGGCAGGCAGAAGTCCATCAGGTCGAGCCTTCTTGCCTCCTTCTGCATGGGCTTCCCTGGTGTGTGTTTGCGGGTTTAGACCGTAAAGTCCTGTTGGGTCAATGTGGTTCAGGTCTGGGGAAGGAGGACCAGGCAGGGGAGGGACAGGCAGAAGTTCGCTAGGGGCAGCCTTGCCCCAGCGCTTCACAGCTTGATCGCTGTGTCTGTTTGCTTGGATGGATAGGGTGCAAACATCCAAACACGTGGGGTAATATATATTATATTTATATTTATATTATGTTGTATTGTTGTGTTATATGTTATGTGTATGTCATATTCCATATGTTGTGTATTGTATTGTGTACATATAGATATACATGTATATGTACACAATACAGTATAATACAATACAATACACAACAACCTGGGGCAATATATAATGTATTTGTTATTTGTTGTGTATTGTATTGTGTACATATATAGATATACATGTATATGTATACACAATACAATATAATACAATACAATACACAATAACCTGGGGCAATATATAATGTATTTGTTATTTGTTGTGTATTGTATTGTGTACATATAGATATACATGTTATGTATTGTATTGTGTACATATATAGATATACATGTATATGTATACACAATACAATATAATACAATACAATACACAATAACCTGGGGCAATATATAATGTATTTGTTATTTGTTGTGTATTGTATTGTGTACATATATAGATATACATGTATATGTACACAATACAATATAATACAATACAATACACAACAACCTGGGGCAATATATAATGTATTTGTTATTTGTTGTGCATTGTATTGTATACATATACATATATGTCTTGCCTCCCAGAGTTATAGTGCTCCATCCCTGGAGGTTTTCAAAAAATAAGACCAGATAACCGTTTGACAAGGATGGTACGAGGTCTCCTGCCTTGGACAAGGGGTTGGACTAGAAGACCTCTGAGGTCCCTTCCAAACCTATGATTCTATGTTTGTTTATGTTTATGTCTTACGTGTGTGTGTGTGTAAATATAAAGCAATACAATACACAACATATAACAAATGTAACAGTACATAGTTAGATGGATTAATACAGTCTTCTTCACCTGTTTGGAGAGATCAGATTTGATCAACTGAATAAAAGCTAAAAATCCAACAGAGGCAGCTGTCCTCCATTTCTCTAGGAAGGTGACTGTTGAATTGCACAGCTTTGGAGTGTAACTGAATGGGGAGTGGGGTAGGGTGGGGGGAGAAAGAAACTATCAGTGAAAGGCTATGTGAGAGGCAGATGTTCACTAGGTGCAGCTTTTCAGTCCTGAAGGTAAGCTACACTGGTTGGACATCTGCCGTGCCTGTTGCACGTTATTAAAATATAGAAGAACTATAGAAAGGAGAATGGTTTACAGCAATTGGTAGCTAAAGAGTAAATCTATGTATGTACAGTGTGTGTGTGTGTGTGTGTGTGTATATATATTTATAGGTATATATTTGTATATATGTATATCTCTATGTGTGTGTACGTATATACTTCTATGTATTGTATATGTGCATATATGTGTGTATATGTATATACATTTGTGTATGTATCTGTTTATACAGGTAGTCCTCAACTATACGACCACAATGGAGCTGCAAATTTCTGTTGTTAAGTGAGACATTTGTTAAGTGGCTTTTGCCCCATTTTACCACCATTCTTGCCACAGTTGTTAAGTGAATCACTGCTGTTGTTAAGTTATTAAATGAATCTGGTTTCTCCATTAACTTTGCTTGTGAGAAGATCGCAAAAGGGGATCCCATGACCCTGGGACACAGAAACGGTCATAAACATGAGCCAGTTGCCAAGTGTCTGAATTTTGATCACATGACTAAGGGAATGCTGCAGAGGTCATAACTGTAAAAAACGGTCATAAGTCATTTTTTTTCAGTGCTGTTATAACTTGGAATGGTCACTAAATGAAGTATAAGTCGAGGATTACTTGTATATGTATGTGTATTTGTATGAATAAATATTTCTGGTTATATGCACATTGTATGTGGATGGATGGATGGATGGATGGATGGATGGATGGATGGATAGACAGACAGACAGACAGACAGACAGACAGACAGACAGATAGACAGATAGATAGATAGATAGATGATAGAGATGATAGAAAGATGAGAGATAGCATAGATATAGTAGATATAGATTTGCACCAAGACAAATTCCACATTTGGCCAATAAAGAATTCCTATTCTGTTCTGTTCTGTTCTGTTCTGTTCTGTTCTGTTCTCTTCTCTTCTATTCTCTTCTCTTCTATTCTATTCTATTCTATTCTATTCTATTCTATTCTATAGATATAGATAATGTGTGTGTGTGTGTGTGTGTGTGTGTGTATGCTTTTTACATTGTGTTTTGTCCACTGTTTTGAGTTCTGTTTAACTATAGCAATTTACCTTCCGGTTTCTTCCACTCATAACTTTAAAATCTCTATACTGGAAGTCTACTCAGTATGAATGGGAAAATTTAGCCTTGGGAATACTAATTGGGGGCTTACTGCTCTTTTTATTCCAACCTTCCTCCCCTACCCCACCCCCCACCCTTCCCAGTGTGGCAGCATCCTTATCTGAACATCTTTAAACATTTTAAAGTAGAAGAATGGAAAAGATCTACCAAGGATGGGGATGTGACAACCTTTATGGTAAGGCCAAATGTTCTGACATTTCTCTCAGTAGCTTCAATATAAATTGCATCTGCTTGGTTTCCTACGGTGTTCTGTAGTTTGCTTACTCTGACACCTGAACTTAGATTATGGCATAGATCAGCGGTCGCCCACTGGTGGTCCGTGAGAAAATTTTGGTGGTCCGCAGAGAAATGCCACCCCAAAGCACCCCCCCCCAAAAGCAATTAATCCAGGCTGCGGGGGAGCACAAGGCTGCGCTGCCCACGTGGCTGGTGGGAACACAAGGCTTTCATTGCTTGCATTAGGAACAGCACGAGGTAGTGAGGGGAGGGCGGAAAGGGCGGAGGGGGGAACTTTCCTGGCCACTGGGTTGCTTCTTCTGCTTCTTTCTTCTTCTGCTTTTGGCTGCACACAAGGAAAGCAGCCAAAGTCTTTCTTTTTCTCCCCCAAACTCTGCCAGAAATGAGTCTTTGGGACCCTGCAAGGCCTCCTCCTGCTTCAAGAGGCTGCGCCGGCAAAGACTCATTTCTGGCCGAGTTTGGGGGAGAGAAAGAAAGACTTTTACTGCTGGTTTCCTTGCATGAAGCTGAGAACGGAGCTCTAAAGCAGGCTAGGAATGGGGCTGCTTTGGAGGGGGTGGGGGTGTGTGAGGGAGAGGGAGAGGGAGAGGGAGAGAGAGAGAGAGAGAGAGAGAGAGAGAGAGAGAGAGAGAGAGAG